TTTTTTTTTTTTTTTTTTTTTTTTTTTTTTTTTTTTTTTTTTTTTTTTTTTTTTTTTTTTTTTTTTCTCTTCTAGTTTGTTAATCAGTTTAGGTTGAATATGGTTGGATCAAGAAAGGGTATATTATTTGACTTGAGATCTGTTTTTATTGTCATCAGATTCAAAGCTTTCGATAAAGCTGGTGGAATCGAAGTTGCTTGGAGCCAAGTGGACATTGAAGATGTTTTGCAGTCACCTGAACAACTTCAAAGATTGTATTCTGAGGTTCATTTGCTGAAGTCACTGAAACATGAGAATATTATCAAGTTCTTTAGTTACTGGGTTGATGATAACACTAAGACTATCAACATGATTACAGAATTGTTCACTTCTGGGAGTTTGAGGCAGTAAGAACCACCAAAGAGTCTTCGTTTTGTTTCGGTTATTCGTTTCTTATTATCATTTTACTGCATTCAATGAGTTATTTGTTCACTTATGGTATACTTTGGAATTCAGATATCGAAAGAAGCACAGGAAAGTGGACTTGAAGGCTTTCAAGAACTGGGCAAGGAAGATACTGCGGGGTTTAACGTATTTGCACGGTCATGATCCTCCAATTATTCACAGGGATTTGAAATGTGATAATATATTTGTCAATGGAAATACTGGAGAAGTTAAAATCGGAGATCTCGGATTGGCGATCGTCTTGCAGCAGCCGACTGCCCGAAGTGTAATTGGTAATTTTCATTTTCTTGCTCGGTTTCTATTTGGGGACAGAATTCTAGATTGAAGCAGAACGAACTTCAACTAATACTTGTTGATTATTATCTAGGCACTCCAGAGTTCATGGCTCCAGAGCTCTATGATGAGGACTACAATGAACTTGTTGATATCTATTCTTTTGGCATGTGCATGTTGGAAATTGTTACTTGTGAATACCCATATAATGAGTGCAAAAATTCTGCCCAAATATTCAAGAAGGTTACTTCTGTAAGTAGAACATGATTTACCTCTTACCAGATTATGTTCACTAAATGTTTCCATCAAATTTGAAGTTATGGAATAATTTGCTTGTTTCTTCCAGGGTGTAATGCCTGCTTCCCTTGAAAAAGTGTTGGATCCTCAAGTTAAGCAGTTCATAGAGAAGTGTCTGGTTCCAGCATCCATGAGACTACCTGCAAGTGAACTCTTGAAAGATCCATTCCTTGCAACTGAAAATCGCAAGGATCATAGTTCTGAACGTTCAATGTTATTGAATGCGCAGTTCGAATCAGTAAATCCTCCTCTGCTGGATACTAATCCAATGGACATGGATCACAATTGCAGCAAACTCTCAGGCTCAGTGGCCTCATCTATCGAAAGCAATAATGAAATTTCTCACTTTTCAACTCAGGAACTCAAGACGCTCACCGAGAACAATGAATTGACACTGAAAGGGGACATGACTGATCATAATTCAATTTCGTTCCATTTGCGCATTGCCGAATTATCTGGTAACTTTTTTGGTCAACTCATCTGTAATCTTCTGAAAGTTCTTTGATACACATGATGGTAACTTGAACATTTATTTTAGGTCAATCTAAGAATATCCATTTTGCGTTCTTTCTTGATTCCGATACTGCGTTGGCTATTGCTTTGGAGATGGTTGAACAACTTGAACTGTCAAATGAAGATGCTACCATCATAGCACAACTGATAGATGAATTAATTGCTAAGTTTGTTCCCAGTTGGCAACAATGTACAAATTTTTGTGACGGACTAATTACTGAACATAGTTCTTCTGAAACCGAAGAGGATAAGGCCTTCAGTCCTCCTCTCTTCTCTGAGATGGTACTGTCTTCTCCCTTGGTGGGTGCCGGTAGGAAAACTCTGACAGAATTGGCGGAGGTGGAACATCAAGAAAACCAGCAGACAATCATCTCATGTGCATCTCTGGACTACAACCACTCAACCATCTCAGATTACAGCATGGGAAAAGGAGGATCAGAGTGTGGTGACTTCAGCCACCCCGAATGCGACAAAGCTTTTATAAGCAGCGGCAGCGGAACCAGTGATTTAGATGCTGTTGGATCTGTTTCAACTATGTTCGATTTCGCCAAACCGTCCCTAATCTCCTCCTGCTCAGGAATGTCGAAAGAATTGAGCTTGTCTAACTTCTCCAATTTTTCTGTGGAAGAAAGAGACCAGCATGATGAACTGAAGATGGAGATTGATGCCATTGACATGCAGTACCACCAGTGCCTTTGTGAACTGTCGAGAATGAGAGAGGAAGCTATTGAAAGTGCCAAGACGAGGTGGATGTCAAAGAAGAAAGGTGCGGCTATTTGAATGGAGCCCTCTGGATTTACAAGTTTGTTTTCTTCATCATCTTCTTCATTTTTTGGCAACTCTGGCAAGATGGATGGGGACATGTTCTTATTTTACTACTGAGCTTATTATATTTAGCAGTCTATCCATCCATCCAACCAAGTCGTAACTCCCAACATCTTCTCACTCTGAGCTCGGCCATGTTTAACTTATATATACACCAATTCATTTCATAGTTTAGACACGTTCGTTCATTCATTCATTGTCACATTATTCTTCCCATAGTGCAACCATTTTCCATGTATTATTCTTACTCATTCCCATGAAGTTCTTTCTGCAATTTCTTCCATATGAAAAAACTACTCTTATAATTTTGCTTTCAGCTGTTTCTTTTTTCCAACATTCGGTTATATCCTTGTAACTTACCTTGCAAGGGAAGAATTCAATTTATGTATTAATATTATCATTTTGTTCCAGTGTTCAATGGGGTTTTTCTTTTACTCAACGTGTAGCAAACCAATTGTCATCCTTCAAAGTGTATGTTATTGACCAAAAAGTTGGAGGTTAAAAATAAAACAGCGATGAGATCATATTATTATTTGTACGAATTGTCATCCACGACCCCCTTACTTTAGAGTGTCAGTGTCACTCCTCCCACATATAGGCTAATTCATTATTTACTCTCTTTGGATCTATATCTAAAAACAGAAAATCTTGGTTAGACCATTAAAAATACCAATAAATGATTCAGTTAAAAAATACATCAACTAAACAACCAACCTCACCTTATGCTCAATTTCTTTTATTTGCCTCTAATCATGAAAACCAGCCAAATAAAAAAATAACGATTTGTTCCTATCAGGGCTAGTCTCATGGTTTAAAACTCATGTTCCTATCAGTGCTAGTCTCATGGTTTAAAACTCATGTTCCTATCAGTGCTAGTCTCATGGTTTAAAACTCATGTTCCTATCAGTGCTAGTCTCATGGTTTAAAACTCATCTACAAGGGAGAGGTTTCCACATCCTTATTAAGAATATTTTGTTCCCCTCTCTAACACATTGCTTGATGCTTGACTCAAATACTATTTGTTACAACCCAAGCCCACCACTAGTAGATATTGTCCACTTTGGTTCATGTATCGTCGTCATTTTAAAGTGCGTCTACTCATGAGAAGTTTCCACACCTTGTAAGGAATGTTTCGTTCTCCTCTCCAACCGATGTGAGATCTCACAATTCACCCTCTTTGATAGCATAGAACGTGCTTTGTTCTATTGTTTCATGCATATTTTTTAAATGAAACTCAGGCAAAAGGTAAGATTGTAGTAACATGGGGCGACGAATAGAATAATTTGGAAGGTGCCCCCACATAATTAAATAAAAATATTTATGATATAAAATGGCTTCATAACACATGAAGCATCCAATATGAGAAAATAATATTACACATCAAATTATCTAATTACTTGTATGTATGAAATTTTGAATCATATGCTTGAAACGTATCAAATTAATTAACCATCTAGTTGAATAATAATTATTATTATTATGAAAGAAAAAAAGGCAAGAAAAAAGAAAAGAAGAACGTGTGTGAATAATGGCCAACAAAGGCAACAACTACAATAATAACTCTATCTAATAATTCCATTTGCAATTTTAGAAATTCATTTACTTATAACAATAAATCAGAAACACAGAAACACACAAAAATGGAAGATTCAACGGATCAAATTAGAGCTCCTCTGAGTAAGGAACCACAAAACCCCCAATTTCTCTTTTCATTTTTCCATTTCTCATCGTTTTTCTGATTTCAGTTCCCAGCAGGAGCCATGAACAAGCTTCTTCATCCGCATCTCCGCCGCCTGAGGAAAACTCGCCGATTCCTCAGGTGGCTCTCACGGTTCCGACCACCGACGACCCTTCTCTACCGGTTCTCACCTTCCGAATGTGGTTCCTCGGAACTCTCTCCTGCGTTCTCCTCTCTTTTCTCAACCAGTTCTTCTGGTACCGCAAAGAGCCTCTCTCCATCACTGCCATTTCCGCTCAGATCGCCGTCGTTCCTCTCGGCCGTCTTATGGCTTCCGCACTCACAGATCGGATCTTCTTCAAAGGAAGTCGCTGGGAGTTTTCGCTTAACCCTGGCCCTTTTAATGTCAAGGAGCACGTTCTCATCACGATCTTCGCCAATTCCGGCGCCGGCTCCGTGTACGCGATTCACGTCGTCACGGTGGTCAAAACCTTCTACAGGCAACATATGAGCTTCCTCGTTTCTCTCATTGTTGTCGTTACGACTCAGGTGGGTCAGATTTTTCGTTTTTTTTTTTTTTTTTTTTTTTTTTTTTTTTTTTTTTTTTTTTGTTTTGTTTTGTTTGTGTNTTGTGCGTTGAAAATCGAAATTGATTGAAATGGTATAAGATTAGGTGTTGGGATTTGGATGGGCGGGAATATTCAGGAAGTATCTGGTGGAGCCGGCGGCGATGTGGTGGCCGACGAATTTGGTTCAGGTTTCGCTGTTCAGGTATGGAATTACTAGTCTTATTATTATTATTATTATTTTCAATTTAGCCCCTGTTATCCAAAAAGTTGCAGATAGACCCTCACACTTTTTACATTTTTCAATTATTCTCGTTTTCATGGGCCAATTGGAGAATTTTCAGAGATTTTTTTTATTATTCATTTAAATTTCTAGAAAATCGATTAGATATTTTAACTCCCAAAATTCCAACCAACTCTTTTGCTGTTTTTGTCGGCTTTAGGTTATAAAGTTTAAAACTTTTAGCTATCCATGTAAAAAACACATGTTAAATTATTGATTTTTAGATAAACAATTTAAGCTCATCGTTAGTAAATATTGGCCTATTATGTTGTTAGTTTCACGGTTTTAAAATTTCGTGACTCTTTCCTGCCGATGTGGATCTCATAATAGTCCAAAAACGATAATATCTGCTAGTGGTGGGTTTGAGCTATTACAAAGGGTATCGGAGCCAAACACCAAGCGGTGTGTCAGCAAGGACACTGGGGCTAAATTGTGAGACCCCACATCGGTTTGAGAAGTGAACAATACATTTCTTATAAGGGGTGTGGATTAATTTTAAATTTTATTTAAAGTACATGTACTATCAAATAAAAAAAAAAAAAAAAAAAGGTAAGGGGGTGAAGTGAAAAACGCCAAAAGGGGCATTAGAGACTTGTACGTTATGCTTAGCTTAGATGGGGATGAAATGGAATAAGACGTTTATGTAGGATTCCAAAACGGCGTAAGAACATGGAGTGGCCGACCAATCAACTTACACCTATTTTGTTTTATTCCAATTTATTAAATAATAATAATAATAATAATAATAAATAAAACCATTCATTATTATGATTATTCTTTTCTTTTCACTACTTTTTTATTGTGTTATTTATTTCTAAATTTTTGTGATTCTTATTTACTTTTTTATTTTTTTAAAAATGTTGGTATAATTATTGAATTCAAATTTGGTTTCAATTAACCAACTATTTTTTATCTTTTCAAAATATTTAAATATAGATTCATAAAATTGATTTACTTTGTTTTAGAAAGTTGGTATTGTTATAAAGCAAATCATGAGAACAATTATGAATAGAAAATAAAATTAAAAATCTTGAAATTTGATGGCTAAGTTGACTTAATAATTTTGAATATTATAATAATACTTTTTGAGTTTAGTTTTTGAAATTGATTTGATCCACAGGGCTCTGCACGAGAAAGAAGAACGAACCAAGGGAAGCTTAACCCGAACCCAATTCTTTGTGGTAGCCTTCATTTGCAGCTTCGCCTATTACGTCTTCCCAGGCTACCTCTTCCAAATGCTCACCTCTCTCTCATGGGTCTGCTGGGTCTTCCCCACTTCCATTCTGGCCCAACAGATCGGTTCGGGCCTTTATGGGCTGGGCCTCGGCTCCATTGGGCTCGACTGGTCCACCATCTCCTCCTACTTGGGCAGCCCACTCGCCAGCCCATGGTTTGCCACTGCCAATGTTGCAGTCGGCTTTGTGTTCGTCATGTACATCTTGACCCCAATCTGCTACTGGTTCAACCTTTACAAGGCCACAACATTTCCCATTTTTTCTGATGGCTTGTTTACTGGGAAAGGCCAGAAGTATGACATTTCCGCCATTGTTGACTCCAATTTTCACCTTGATCCTGCTGCTTATACCAGACAAGGGGAGCTTTATATTAGTACTTTCTTTGCTCTAACTTATGGCGTTGGCTTTGCTGCTCTTTCTGCTACCCTTGTTCATGTTGCTCTCTTTCATGGAAGGTATTGTCCGATACATTTAGTCTCTCAACTTCGATGTTTTGTGATTCTACTTAGTCGTTAGCTAATGTGACATGTCTAGGGAAATATGGCAGCAAAGCAAGTCGAGCTTTCAAGAGAAGACGATGGACATACATACAAAGATGATGAGCAAGTACAAACAAGTTCCTGAATGGTGGTTCGTGTTAATTCTTGTGGCAAATATCGCGCTCACCATTTTTGCATGCGAATACTACAACGACCAACTTCAGTTGCCGTGGTGGGGAGTTCTACTTGCCTGTGGCATTGCCATTTTCTTCACTCTCCCAATAGGAATCATCACTGCCATCACCAACCAAACTCCGGGCTTGAACATAATCACCGAGTACATTATCGGATATATCTACCCGGGATATCCCGTCGCTAACATGTGCTTCAAAGTGTATGGATACATTAGCATGACTCAAGCCATTACTTTTCTTCAAGATTTCAAGCTTGGCCATTACATGAAGATCCCACCAAGAACCATGTTCATGACTCAGGTCATTTTCTTTTACCTTCTTCATCACAAATGATACAAGCACTTACTAAATCTTGTTGTTTTGAGTGTTTAGGTTGTTGGAACATTAGTTGCTAGCGTTGTGTACTTGGGCACTGCCTGGTGGCTCTTGGAAACCATCCCTGAAATTTGTAGCTCATCTCAATCCTTCTGGACTTGCCCGTCCGATAGGGTGTTCTATGATGCCTCGGTCATATGGGGGTTGATCGGTCCGCGTCGAATTTTTGGGGACCTTGGACATTATTCATCAGTAAATTGGTTCTTTCTTGTGGGTGCAATTGCTCCTGTTTTTGTATGGTTGGCTGTCAAGGCATTTCCACAGCATGAGTGGATCAAACTTGTCAATATGCCTGTGCTGATTGGGGCCACTGCCTATATGCCTCCAGCCACCGCTGTAAACTACATCACTTGGATCATTATGGGGTTTCTTTCTGGGTTTGTTGTGTACAGATATAAGCCAGATTGGTGGCGAAGGCATAACTACATTCTCTCAGGGGCTTTGGATGCTGGTCTTGCTTTCATGGGGGTGCTGTTGTACTTCTCATTAGGGCTGCATGAGATCAGCCTCGACTGGTGGGGGAATGACCTCGATGGTTGTCCGCTCGCGCAGTGCCCAACTGCCCCTGGAGTTACTGTGGAAGGATGCCCGCTCTTTACCTGAAGCATTTTTGTGTTATAAGCATTTCTCTGTAGCTTGTACATGAAATTATTGGCTATTGATTTCTCATGACATTATTTCAGATTTGAGTTGCAGAAGGTTGTAAAAAACTTCAAAACAAATAAGAAAAAACCAGATAGAAATATCCCAATTCGTTACAGCAACAAATGTTTCAAATTGAAAGAATTGAGGGTCTCAGAAAGTCATAAAACGGTAAGCCTCAAACTCTCGTTAACGCACGATTCTTTGATTGGTGCTACGAGCCGAGTAAATATATAAAAAGATGCCGAGTATCTACAGCTTCAATGCTTGCTTCGCCATGGCAATAGCCCCTTCGTAAGTTTGATTTCCACCTATAAAGCCACTCATATGAACAAACACGCAACCGGGGATCCCTGACTCTTTTGAGAGTTCCTCGTCCCTTAAACCCCGCCATTGAGCAGGCAGAGGCTTGCGACTCTCGAATCTGTCAGGAGCTGTTGCCACTGCCTGCACTCGCCACTGTTTGCTTCGATCGTCCTGAAAATCGCAACGCATTAAAATGGAAAATAACAAAACATTTCTGATAGCTCTGTTGGTTTGAATTGTTGGATGTTACATATACCTGATAGAGCACATATTTGATCAAATTGTCGTTCTTCAACTCCGTCTCGAGCTCAAATAGATGAAGTTTCCACTATTGTTAAAAGAAAATTATGTAATCGTTACTGATATAAAGCATATACAACTTGTAACTTGTATGTCCTAACCTCTCCAATGACAAGATGAAAAAAAACTCAGTGAATGAAGAAAACCAGAGTTAAGCGATAAACAAATGAGCGCTTACAGGGCAAAATGTTGTCAAAACCATTATTTCTCCACTAGGGTCGATATCATGTCTTGCTCCAAGACATCTCATCACGATCGACCTTGCTGGTAGCCACGATTTGGCATGAAACCGAACACTCTGAAATTAAGCAAGGATCAGGAAGCAACTCAACCAAGTAAAGAAGCTAAGGAAATATGGTTGGGCTCAGGATTTTAATAGATTATTTTGTATCCATAGATACTCAAGAAGCCTCACATCTAAGAACTCGCCGCCAGCCAGAGCCATTGCTTTCTCAAAGGCTTTATTCTCATTCTCGGATGATTGATCGGGATCAATCCAGTCCAGATTCAATCTCCCCACCCTTGAAGATAGGTGTGTGTTATTCACATATTTTGGTGGCTGGTCTGTATCATACTGATTGATACCGTTATCTATAGCATCGATGCCCTGAAAAAATAAGCACGAATGTCAAAAGATAAACAGACATAAATATAAAAAAAACGTTAGTCAACCCCGTGCAGAAAATTCTTGAGGTTAAAACTTTCATGATAATTAACAATGGAAACGAGATAAAAAGGATTAATCCAAAAATTGAGTTCACACCTCCATGAAACTTTTGTATACAGCCAAAAATAGCCTTTGCACATCTGGGTGGCCTTCATCAACTTGAAGCTCCTTTGCAATAATCTCCTTCCCAAAATGCTGGAGCAGAACAAAAACAACAACAATAACAAGCATAACTACTAAATTCTTTGTAAGAAGCATGATAAAGGTTATTCATGAAAAGAAAATCTGATAACACTGTTTAACGACGAACAAGTATGAACTTGGATATATAATCACTTGTCAAATTTTAAAGATGGTCTTGGAAAGGCGACTACCTACCTTATAAACAAGACCAGCGCTGCTGAGCTTAGTGTTGAATCCATGGCCAAAAACTTCTTCAAACCCCTTTTGATGATGATCATAACGATCGTGACTTGGATCATACACGCCCCCAACATCAAGAACTGCATCAAGACCTTCTAATACCTAGCAACCAATTCAAATCAGAGACGACAGTTTCATGCCTAGGCCAAAATCCAGTCCATAAACTACCAAGCAAACAAATGGAAAGGAAACATCACAAAACGAACAAGACCCTGTTGAAAATACTCGGTTCTCTTGAAACTTTGCAAAAAGAAAAACCCAGATTTACATTACTGATAAGAAAGAAAAAAAACTCATTAAAATTCTAGTAAATTTCTACAACTACTCAGCAAAACCCAGCAGTCTATAACCCAACTACAACTCAATTTTCATCTTCATTCGACAAGACAGGGAATAGAAAACGCGAACCTGGGGATCACGGGTTCGAACAATCTGAGCATTAGAGAACTTCTGCGTCAAGCGAATCATGAAGCAGCCAAGCGCCTCATCGCAATGGAAGCTACCATGGTGAGTCCCCACTCGCTTCACCGAAACGGCGCCACCAGGGGAACCAGTGGAATAGGAAGCGACAGGAGAAGTAGCCATGAAAGGACGGAGAAAGAAAAACTTGGGGAAGGAGAAGAATTGCTTGTGGTTAAACCCTAAACCTCTACCAAGAATGACCATTGCCTTCGAATCCTAACATTAAAGTCTGGTCTTTTCAGCTCTCTTGTAGAAATTGTTGCTTAATTCTGGCGGTGGGTCTGGATTCTACCGTGGGCTTCAATAATCCGAATGGTTGAGCCCAATGTTGTTGTGCTCCATTGTTCATCTTCCCTACTTTATTTATTTTTTTTAATTTTCTTTTAAATTTTATATTTTTACACAATTTCTTGTTTGCTCTTGTATATCATTTATATGCTGTTTTCTTTATAAAATAACATCAATATACCTTTTTTAAAAAAATAACGCCTATTATGAAGACATAAATTTAATATCATGCTTTTCTTTCTTAAGAATAAATAGGCATAAATTTACTTCAAGTCATTGTCTATCCATTTTAAACTATCTAACCTTAAAAAAAAGACATAAAACGCGAGAGAATTTGAATCTAAAACCAACGAGAGACGATGACCTAACCATTTAAGCTATACCTAAATCGACAGCATCTACCACTAATCTATACTCCTTATATGACATTGCAGAAATTTGACGTTTCTGATACGAATATTAAACTACCATACTCAATCCTGTATTTATAGTTCCTTGTGATGTTTGCTACAGAAGTTTCAATATCAAGCTTGTTATCTGGCAAAAGAAGAGTAAACTAAGTGAGAATAAGAACAGAAGGCTAAGTTTTGCAGAACAATTACAGCAGTTGTAAGAATATGTAAGCTCCATGGAAATGGTTGCAAGTGACTTCATTCTGTATGTAATAAACATGTTTAGAACTATCATTCTGTATAATTCAACTTCAAGAAAGAACTATGTCCTAACGTTTTCTCCTCTGTTCGTCATCCCATTCTTCATTGGATTGTTCATGATCTAATGTCTCTTTATAATCTCCCCATCCTCTAATCTCATCTCTCAATTGTTCTTCAGCAGATGGAAGCTTCATATCCCTTTTCTTGCCACTCTTCAATATAAGGCAAGACCGCTCATATTAGACTCAGATTACAACACATATACATATACATTGCCTTTGTCTATGTAATATAGTTTACCTTTTTGGTTGGTCCTTTGAACCCCTTCAAATGGCCTCTCCCTATCTCCGTCGGAGAAATTTGATTGGACGCCTTACCGAATATTTGGAAGGGTTGAATGTCTCCATTTTTAATGCTTGCTTCAACCTACAAGTAAATCCAAAGTTGTGATACAAGAAACAAGCTAATGGTACAACATTTCAATATGAGAGTATGCTGTTTGCATTGGCGTTCATGTCATGGCCAGAATTTTGCAAAACTTCTGGTGAATAGTTTGAAGGATAAGGAAGAAACTAGTGAAGATACCTGAATGTGAGCTATGCAGATAAGTATACTGACAATAGGAAGCCAACTCTCATCGGGTGACAACGATAAATTTGACCTGATAACGAGATGCAAAATTATGGTGAGAATAACATAATGGTGTCTGTGTATACTACTTAAATAATGACCGACATTCATTCTGTGAGATCTCACATCAGTTGGAGAAGAGAACGAAGCATTCTTTACAAGGGTGTGGAAACCTCTCCCTAGCAAGCGCATTTTAAAAACTTTAAGAGGAGGCCCAAAAGGGAGAGTCTAAAAAAAACAACATCGGCTAACGGTGAGCTTGGGCTGTTACACATACTTTCTATTCATTCTCAACCATGGTAAAAGTCTCAAAACACACAATAAACACAATAATCATCCTGCAGGATGGTGTAATTTAGCTCTAACATATTCACACTACTGAGGGTTGAAACCCCCTAATAACCACAACAAATAAAGTTTATAAGACAAAAATTCTTGTAGAAAATACTCATCAATAACAAAATGAAATGTTGTTCATAATCTCTTGCCCAGTAAATTTTGATAAGCACACTACTGAGGCTTTGTAACTTCTTACAAATGACAGAAAACCCATGCGATCCACATTCTGCACATTCTTCTCTTTACATAGCTCATTATTTGTTTTGAGTTCTTAGAAATTTAAACAACTAGTTCAATGAAAATGCTACAGATTATTCAAAATTTCACATTTCAGTGAATTTGAAGGAAAGAAAAAACAAGAAAAACCCAAGAATTGAAAATCACCTTAGATAAGGAGCCAAATACACGATAGCATACACAGCATAACGTCTTTTCCCAGAATCAAGCCACGCAAAAACCCAACTCTATCCAATCAACCAAAAGAAGAAGAAGAAGAAAAAATAATTTCTTTAAAAATCAACATCCAAACAAAAAATTGAACTGAAAATCTAAAAGATGCACACCAGCCAGTTGAAGTAGGGGATAAAGCTAATGATGCCCATGACAGCGAGCCTAGCATCGGTGGAATCCATAACGGCATCGCTATCATCATCGGAACCACCGCCAGCTGGTGGAAGAACAAGAGAACTGAGAATGCAAGCCCCGATCGCAATAGCGAAAGGCGCGTCGTTCCCTAATTCCGCCCGACAAATCCCATTTCGGGTCGTCCTCCTCTGCGATCAAATTGGGTAACTTATTTCACTCGAAATTCAAATCAGAATATCGGAAACAGGGGAATAGAAGGGATGGAGCAATTTTTACCTGATTAGAAGCTGATTTGTGGGAGGGATTTAAGGGTTTGAGATTGGAGAGTGAAGTTGAGAAGGTGAAAGGGGGTTTGGAGAGGCGAAGAAGGTTGAGAGAAGAGAAATTGGAAGGGGATGATGATAAATAAGCAGAAGCCAGAGTGACCATTGGCGCTGTAATTGTGGTGAATCAGTGAAATGATAGTCGGAAGAAAGTGAGAATCAGAATTTCTCGACGGGAAAACGAAAGAGCCACTCCCCTATGGAATTCTTCTTCACTTCTTGGCAACCGTGCCAACTCTTTCGGCATTGCTGTACGGATTTTCTTTTTTCTTTTCTTTTTCAAATGAAAATTAAATTAAACTTCACTTGTTTCCCAACACAGAAAAATAAAATAAAAGCTAATGTTAACGTTGGATGAGTTTAATTTAGGGAAGGGTCGTGAGTTTGTAATAGAAAGAATATATTCTCCATTGTACCAAGGCCTTTGGAGGAAACTCAAAGTAAAACTATGAAAGACTCAGTAGACAATATCATACAATGGTAAAGAGTCGTGTTCGTCCCACCGCTAATAAAAAATAAAAAAGTTTATATTTTATACTACATTTCAAGTTAGAAATTCTTTAGAACACAAATCACACCTACACTTATCTCGGTTTAGTCTGAAAAAAAAATATTTAAATACGATTACTTTTTGTCTATTTCAAGTGCAGGTTAACAACTTAAAATATTTTGAAGGTCTCTACATCCTTATAAAAATTGTTTCGTTGGATTGCTTCATCTCTTTTCCAACCAATCCCCAACTAACGTGAGATCTCACAATCCACCCCATTTGGGGTCATGTCCTCACCGGTACATTTGCTCTAATATCATTTGTAACAGTTCATGTGAGATCTCACAATCCATCCCATTTGGGGCCAGCGTCCTTGTTGGCACACCGCTCGGTATCTGGATATGATACCATTTGTAACGGTGCAAGCCCACTATTAGCATATATCGTTCTATTTGGACTTTTCATTAAGGGCTTCCTCTCAAGGTATTAAACTGAGTCTAAGAAGGAGAAGTTTTCACACCTTTATAAGAAATGTATTGTTTCCCTTTCTAATCGATGTAAAATCTAAAAACAAAATCATGTATTTAACATCGTCGGGACTTGAATGTTACATTGTTCTCATTATATACTATCTTAAAAGTTCAAGAGTCGGTGATGGATGTCCTCTATTTATATTTTTCCCCATTTTTCTATTGTTGTAGTAGTGTAGAAGTAAATATGGTGTGTTCGATAGTAGTTTTGATACTTGGTTGCTACTTGGCTTGGCCTAGATGGAAGAGAATTATGTTGAGAAGCTAAGAGCTAAAATCTTCACAATATTTGATAAGAAATTTCTAAAATTATTTAGTTCCAACAAAATTTTATTCATGAACTTCCTCAACAACTCGTAATTATGCATTTCCTAATATTTTCTAAATATTTACAAAATATTATCTCTAGGATTTCAGAATATTCCCTTGCGCCTCAATGTTTTGGAGTGGGCCGCCTTAGAGACCAAGAACCCAACTCCTAAACACACGGCCCAAATCCCCAAATCCATGCCCCACCACGCCCCCTCTACCTCCGTTTCTCCGCCGTCGTCGTCGTCATCATCATCATCATCATCACCACCACTACTACCGCAATCGCCGACCGACGAATCTCCATCCACCTCACAACAACAACCACATCCATCGCAATCACCGTCCACTTCTCGCCTCTCCGGAATCTCCTCCATTGCACAGAAACCTCTCTTCTTCTTCCTTCTCACTTTCAGCACCACCTTCTCAAACATCGCTACCTCTCCCTCCAAATCCACACAAATCTCCACCGCCGCTGCCGCTGCCGCTGATCTGGCGATGTCAGATTCAAGCGCGCATTTACACTCTAATCTCCACTCTCCATCGTCGCACCTCCTGAAAATCCCCTGCACGACCTTCTCCTCCCTCAAATACACCTGGAACTGCACACCTTCGCTTGCTCGAACTCGCTCTCTACTCCCGAACACCACATCCTTCCTCATCCGCAACGACGGTGAGACGACTCGATGAAGAGTCACAAACGCCGGCGAGTCCGGACGAATCTTAAGGCCGTCGATCTCCAGGTCGGTCTCGTCAATGCGAGGAAGGTAGAAAAGAGTGAGCGAGTCCGGCAGTGGATTCAGGGATTCAAGATGCGAAAACCGAACGAAGAATGCCTTGATCTTGAGGCGATCACCGCCGAGGCGGCACCGGTAATCCGTCGACCTGCACATTTTTTATTTTACGAGAATCCGATGAATTGAATTTTGATTTGACCCGAGAATTGGTGGTCAAAGTTGAGGGATTATATAGAAAGGGGGAGAAATTATAATTTTCCCCAACCCAGGGGTGGAAGCACACGGGTTTTATGATGACGTGGACAAGCGGACAAATTTAGGTGGTGGCCTTTGCACTTCGTATTTTGACGCGTGAAAGGTGAGTGATTAATCCTGTGCTTCGCGGATACGGGGTTTTCTGTGGACCTCTATTGTGAACCGCTCATTTGGTGATTTGATCGATGCAGATGCCAGGCTGTGAGGTATGGACATTTTCTGGCGTTATACTTTTGGGAAATTTCCCACTCTCGTTTTTTATCAAATCTCTTAACTGTAGAAAAATTATTAACTTAATTAAGACAAGAAAATGAAAATATATTATTATCAAATAATTTTATTATATAAATATTATTTGTACACGTGAAAAATTTGAAATTGCGAAATTAAACCCAACATTTTTAGGGCATATACCAAACCTATAAATGTTGTCATTTTATTTCATATTAAAATTCTCCTCCCTAACTTATCCATTATGCTCAATATTTTGATCAAATTGTTGACTCGTAAAGGTCTATGTTAAAGATCAGGACAGACAAATAGGGATATCAACCAAGTAGATGTGCTGCTCAAGAAAATAGATCTTCATAAATTATGTAGTTATTAAATTAAAGAATTAAGGAAACAGGATTATGTTTTTAAAAAAATATATTTGAGAGATAATTGAATTGTTATAAAACTTTTTAATATTCTAAATAGATAAAATGAAGGGGAGACTTGATACCATTCCTTAAAAAAGTATACACTTTTTCTGAACCATTTAAGGCAAAGGCAATAGTACTATCTTGGGAGAGGGGTACCAGCCATTGGTTGGAAGCAGGAATAATAATGGTGAGCCATTGGTTGGGTCAATTAAGAAGCCAAAAGTCAAAAAGGCCCCTAAATAATGGGCCAAATGGGTTGGGCCAAGAATAAGAGGTAGGGAAAAGGACTTGCAAGGACTAGGAAATCAAACCCCAATTGCACCTTGAGTGGCTAAAATCAACACAACCTTACAAAACATTGACAAGAGGAGTAGTAGTGGTGGTGCTTTTGAGTATTAGTTTAGTTGAATGGATAGCGACACCATCAAAATATCTAACCCGAACAAATATATCTAAATACAGTCAATGCTAAGAAATAATAATCTTGTTCGATAAAAAAAAATTATGTGGTCAAGTATGTAAGCATTATGAATTTGATTCGAGATTTAAATTCGGAATTAAACCATATCATATAGTAAATTTAAATCTCAAACTATTCCTTTCTCTTACAAAAGTAAGAAGGAAAAAGAAAAAAAAAAATAGAATCAATTCAAAGAATAGACATCATCAAAAGGAGAGGACTCCAAATTGGCCATGTGGTGAGCATACTCCTCAATAAACTCTCAGAATCTAAACACAATTTGGGATGTGGACTGATTTGATAGCCTTTTCTCTCAAATGGAATGTGATGAGATGTATTTTTTTATTTATAAAACTTCATCAAAATATCTTTTTATGGGGCGATTCTAAGTTAGTGGCAAATATTTTCAATCTCACTTGTATGTTAGGAGTACGATCAAAATCTCGTATTAGTAAAAAAAAGGAAAAGATTATAGGTAGGATATACGTAAGGATAACTATCTCAATTTTAATAAACAAAGATGGAGATTTGAAGGGATTATATAGTAAAGAGTTGATATGAAATGGTCGATACCCATGTATATTTCGTAATGTTATGTCACGATGTTAAGAGTAGACATATGAAAGGAGACGCTACAAAGTAATACATTATTTTAAAAATAATTTTGGAAAATAATATTAACATTCAAATTAACCAAAGTTTATGAAATTATTGACTTAGAAAAATAGACCAAAGGTGATGTTTCCATGGATTGGACTGCATGTGTGACAAATAATCAAACCAACCAAACCCATCATCATCATCATAATAATAATAATAATAATAATAATAATGAATCTCCTTCTTATTCTTTGGTTGGAGAGATCTTAGAAAAAAAAGAACATTAACATTATTAATGTATTTTAATTTTAACCTAAACTCTAGTGTTTGTTTTTATGAGAATTCTTAATTACATAAATCTAAAATTGTGACACAATTATTACTCCTAACTTAGTTTAATTAAAGTCTTAATCATAGAAGTCACATAGGGAGGTGTTGAGTAACGTATAGGTAATCAAGACCATATACAAGTTGCTTCAAAGTCCAAAATATTACAATAATTACAAGATGGGAATTATTGTGTGAAAAAGAGAGAAAAAAAAAAAAGTACAATTTCTTTTGCAATCGACTTGGCGACGACTGCATTTAATTGGTCACATAATACAACAAAACATGTGAAGGCCAAGTCAAAATGTTGAGCAGGGACACAAATTATTGTTTAAATAATAAAAAACTAAATATTGAATTAATAAATAGTGTAATATGGGTAATTAATTTATGATAATAGACAGTTTAGTATAAGTTAATGCATTGAAGGAATTGATGGGTATGTAGAAAGTTGAATTGATTGGAAGGCCCGTTGAAAATGACAATGCGTAAAGAAATTATTGGGAAATTTCCCAATTCCATTAAAAATCAAAAATCATTTCTTTACTTAAATTTATAATCTTAAACATTTTAATTTTCTTAATCTTGAAGCATTAAAGTTAGTTTAACCGACTTTTTTAATAAGAACAACGCTCAATTTTGACAAACGGTTCTTATTTGATTTAAATGAATCAGAGTATTAATATTTTTATAAAATAAGTATATTAGTTAATGCGGTTAATTACGTAAACAAAAACATGTTTAAAAGGCATCTTAAAGTATGTTAAACTATAAACAAATGGTATTTTTTTGGTTTGGTTTTGCATACTTAAAAACCATTACTTTCTGAAGTTGAAGAGAATATAGAACAAAAAAGGAGCAAAGAAGAAGACACCTCAAAGACTTCCCTGTAATAATAATGCCTATCAATTCCTGGTGACCAATCAAGATAAAAGAATCCAAACCCACCACTGCTCTCTCTTTCTATATATATATTCCCATTTCAACACTCCCATCTTTATTCCACTACTACTATGGCTACCGAGATTGCCAAGGATCCCATCGACGCTCATCGGACCGCTGCCGAACGAGGCGGAGATTCGGGCAGAAACCCGAGGTGGAAGAGGGTTGAACCATGGACGAGGCAGTTGACAATCAGAGGAGTAACGGCGAGTATCATTATTGGAAGTGTTTACAGTGTGATAGCCATGAAATTGAATCTTACTACTGGACTTGTCCCTAATCTTAACGTCTCAGCTGCTCTTCTTGCTTTTATCTTCGTACGAACTTGGACTAAAACACTGCAAAAGGCTGGGTTTGTTACTAAACCCTTTACTCGTCAAGAGAATACCATGATTCAAACTTGTGCTGTTGCTTGTTATAGCATCTCGGTTGGAGGTAAACCAAAAGCTCTTAGCTTTTCACTTTTTTTTTGTGTTTTTAAGGCGATTTAGAGAGTGACCCAGATAAGAAAAACGCGAAATTTGTGTAAAAATGCAGGTGGGTTTGCTTCATATCTATTGGGGATGAACAGGAAGACGTATGAATTATCAGGAGTGAACACAGAAGGGAATTCTTCATACAGTGTGAAAGAGCCAGGATTGGGGTGGATGACTGGCTTTCTTTTTGTGGTTTGCTTTGTGGGTCTTTTTGTTTTGATTCCTCTAAGAAAGGTTTGTTTTTTCTTCTTCTTCCTTCTTCTTCTGCTTAAAAGAACATGAAAAAGGGGAAGTTTTTTTAATCATGTTTCAGAGCTTTTCTAGACCTTTTTTCTTTTAGGGTTTGAGGTTAAAGTTTGAAGATGACGTTGTTGGATGATCATGAGTTTATGTTCTTTCCTCCATTAGTGTGAGGCTTTTTGGAAAAGTCCTCGGTAGAGAGTCGTATTCAAAATTGGATTACAATTAAAAATTATATCTTTTAGGGTATGACCTTTTAATGATTGATTTCATTTCCAAGATGAATGAGATGAAACCACTTGTGGTTGATTTATTGAAGGACATTTGTGGGTTTTTTCTGTATACACCGATGTAGAATCTCACAATTCGACATAAGAAGATGTGTCAACGAAGACACTAGGGTCTGAGAGAGAATAAATTGTGAGATCCTATATCGATCCGATCAAAAGGAAGAAGGACATCGAATAGAGAGGGAAACAAGTGTCAGCGTAGACGCTAGATTCGAGTGGGATCTAATCCCAGGTTGATTGTAAAGGGAACGAAACCTTTTTTTAAAAGTGTTTTAAAGATTTTGAGAAAAAAACCTACATTTATGATATGATATAAGCATAAAGTTAGGAGATCACAATAAAATATATAAAAATAGTGGAATAGAATAAATGTAAAAGTTAAAGAAGTGGGTAGTAATACAGTGATTGGTGGCACAGGTTATGATAGTGGACCTGCAATTGACATATCCTAGTGGCTTGGCGACAGCAGTACTGATAAATGGCTTTCACACTCAGGGTGATGAGATGGCAAAGTAAGACTTTTTCTCTTAAATCTCAATTCTTTTTATTTTGTTTTATTTTATTAATTGAAAAAGGAGGAGGATGCTACTATTATTGTCGGATATCACAAAAGTACTGTAATGGGTGACAGGAAGCAAGTTAAAGGGTTCATGAAGTACTTTTCCTTCAGCTTCTTATGGGCTCTCTTCAAGTGGTTCTTTTCTGGGAAAGACAAGTGCGGCTTCTCTGAGTTCCCCACTTTCGGACTCAAAGCTTGGAAACAAACGTATGATCTTCAAACCTTTGCTTTCTTCAGAATTGTATTGACTAATTTAGTAACGATCATGAGTTTATAAGTAAGAAATACATCTTCAATACCTCCAAAGCAGAACCACTATGGACAATACCATACTATTTTCATGATCTTGTTGCAGATTCTTCTTTGATTTTGATGCCACTTTCGTGGGAGCTGGGATGATTTGTTCCCACTTAGTGAACTTGTCTTTGCTGCTAGGAGCCGTTCTGTCCTATGGCCTAATGTGGCCTCTTCTTGATCGAGTCAAAGGGCGGTGGTATCCTGAGAGTTTGGTGGAAAGTGACATGAAGAGTTTATATGGATATAAGGTTTGTTTGTTTCTTTCTTTCTTTCATTCTAATTCAGATGAACCATTTCATTCATGGGCTGTCTCTCATCGACGTTTCAGGTCTTTTTATCTGTTGCCTTGATTCTAGGAGATGGCCTTTACAACTTTATCAAGATTCTTATTTCAACCATCGCAAGTGTTCACCATCGAGTCAAGAAAGCCAAAACAGGTTCTTCTTTAACCTTTTGGGTTCGATTATTGTACTAAGAAATTTTTGAATCAACTTGATTAAGCAAAATAGATATGAGAAGATGGGAATAACCCATATCATCGTTGTTGTTGTTGTTGTTGGAAGGAACAGGTTTAGACGACAAAGAGAAACCAGCAACAGAGGAAAAACAGGACGAAATGTTCTTGCGAGAAACCATCCCACTCTGGCTCGGCCTGGTCGGCTACTTAGCCTTCGCCACAATCTCCACCGTCGCAATTCCCCAAATGTTCCCTCAGCTCAAATGGTACTTCGTCATCACAGCATACATCCTCGCTCCTTCCCTCGCTTTCTGCAACGCATATGGCGCCGGCCTCACCGACATCAACATGGCCTACAACTACGGAAAGGTCGCCCTCTTCATCCTAGCCGCCATCAGCCCCAAACACGACGCCCTCATCGCAGGCCTTGCCGGTTGCGGCCTAATCAAATCCGTTGTCTCTGTCGCCTGCATTCTGATGCAGGATTTCAAGACAGCCCATTTGACCTCCACTTCCCCTAGAGCCATGTTCGTCAGCCAACTCATTGGCACCGCCGTCGGCTGCGTCACGGCGCCGCTGAGCTTCTTCCTGTTCTACAAGGCATTCGACGTGGGAAATCCGGACGGGGAGTTCAAGGCGCCGTACGCTCTGATTTATAGGAACATGGCGATATTGGGAGTGGAGGGTGTGTCGGCTTTGCCGAAGCATTGCTTGCAGATTTGTTATGGGTTTTTTGGATTTGCGATTGGGGTGAACTTGGTGAAGGATGTGGGAGGCGGGAGAGTTGGGAAATGGATGCCGTTGCCGATGGTGATGGCGGTGCCGTTTCTGGTTGGTGGGTATTTCGCGATTGATATGTGTTTGGGGAGTTTGATTGTGTTTGTTTGGGGGAAGCTGAATCGGGAGAAGGCGGAGATGATGGTTCCGGCGGTGGCTTCCGGATTGATTTGTGGGGAAGGGCTTTGGACTTTGCCGGCGGCTGTTCTTGCTCTTGCTAAGATTAATCCTCCTATTTGTATGAATTTTGTGCCATCATAAAAATATATTAAAAAAAAAAAAAACCCCACTTTTACCATTTATTTAAGGCAGACGGGAGAGAGAGACAAAAAAAATTCACGGTTTTACTTTTACCATATGTTCGAGGGTTTATTTTTATTTTTATTTTTTGTATTTTTATTAGTTGTATTTAGTTAAAACATATTTGACATGATGAAAGTTCAAATTTCTATCTCCATCTCCAGCATTAAAAAAATATTTTTTAAAATTTTTTAAAATTCATTAATATGTTAATATTTTTGTTATAAAAAAATTAAATATTAATTTTTAATTTTAGAATAAGTGAAGTGAGTGTCACAAGTAGCGTCCATCCAATCATGAGAATAAAGATTTATGTCCAATGAACTGCATTACGCACGATGACTATGAACCATTATTTGGTAATATCTCTAGCCGGAGCTTACCCACCATACCGGCGGGGACCCTCCGATCAGTTCCCTTCCAAAATCCAAAATAAAAAATCATGGCGTATAGGAGGGCAGTAAGAAGAATCACAGCCGTTCCTCATCTATCTCTCCAACTCCGATTCCTTCTCATTGCCCACCGATGGCGATGCCCTTCTTGGGCTCCACGTTTCCTCTTCCCCAATAATCGCCTTGCTCGTCTCTTCTTTCTCCCCAGCATTAGTAGCCAATCACCGACACCGCTCCTCCCATCCTACCACCACTTTCATCACCATGGCGGAGATTTCATCGGAGAGAATCATTCTCCCCCATCCGTCGCTGGAGGTCGTCGGCGGAGGTCGCGATCGGTTCCTCCCGGCTTTCAAGTACTTGGACAAACCCTATAAGAAATTCCCTGTAATTGGGTCCAATCGCCATTTGGAGACTATTTTTGCTTCCTTCTTTAGGACTTCCCCCAAGATTAAGCTCCGCCGCGAGTGCTTGCGTGTGGCGGATAATGGCACCATTGCTTTGGATTGGGTCGCCGGTGATCATCTCCGCCTGCCTCTTGATTCTCCTGTTCTTATTCTTCTGGTTTGCGCCTTCTGATTCTTTGTTTTCTGAAAATCTTTTGAATTAGATATGATACAAAAGATGCTCGTATACCAAATGATGTTAAATTTGGAATTAGGAAGGGAATGATTATGTTAACCCCAACTCATAAACACTAGAACACTTGTTTAATTTAACATGGGGTCAAAGAATCTCATGTATCTATTTGAATGCTAATGGCATACTACCCAATTCTCGAATTGGGCATCCTTGAAGTGAAACCTTAAAGGCACTAAATTCGTTACTGCATTTAATTCTAATCTGCGTGTCTTGGATTTTGATTAAATGTTGAAATTGAACTTGCAGTTTGATCCTTGAATGGGGTTGATTTCTTGAAGCAAATGTGGCTCCTGTCAGAGTATTAAGGAAATAGTAGGAATCTTATTAGGATATTAGTAGTAGCATAGTAATTACTTTATAGTCTGTTCAAAGGGTGCTTATATACAGAGAGAGTTTGAGTGTGTATGAATTAGGATGATTTTTGGGAAATCAGTCCACGCAGGCAGATTGTGGGCTCGAGATAACCTTCTCGAAAGACGATTCGTACCTTAATTTCTCTTAGATATTACTATATAGTTACATTGTAGTTTTTTTGTACTTTTGATTCTAACACTTCCTGACTCATATCAATGGATTTCATATTAGTTTCTTGAATCTTTGCAGCCTGGTTTAACTGGAGGGAGTCAAGATTCATATGTAAGACATATGTTGGTTAGAGCCAGAGATCGTAGTTGGAGGGTTGTGGTCTTCAACAACCGCGGATGTGGGAATAGTCCTGTTACCTCTCCCCAGGTTCTTTATTCTTTTCCATGTTGGAGAATTGAAGCACATTGTATATAAGATGATTATTTTGTTTTTACAATACTCAGAGTCGACATTCCTGTTTATGATATATTTTGCAACACTGATACATGCAGTTCTATTCAGCTTCATTTTTGGGAGACATGCGTGATGTAGTTGCACATGTTACTACACGATACCCCGAGGCTAATGTGTATGCTGTTGGCTGGTCTCTTGGTGGTAACATTCTTGTAAATTATTTGGGACAGGTAAAACTAAAACATTACTTATTAATCTCCATCCTTCTTTTTATTCTACTTGTTGGTTACCATTCTTTCTAAAGCTTCCTAAAATCTCATAGAATGAGGGAAACTCGGAATTGAAATCGTGAGAAAAAGACCTTTAGAATGGTATCGTTGTGATGGGATAAGTAAAACAAAAAACAAAACTTCGGAGACCGAATGTTCAAAATGGACAATATTATATTATTTTGGAGGACCATCGTTTTAATAGGGCTCATGTCTACAAATCTTGTTGGGATGTGGACAACTAAACATGTAACGGGCCAAGCCCACCGCTAGCAGATATTGTCCTCTTTGAACTTTCTCTTTCAAGTTTCTCCTTAAAATGCGTCTGTTAGGGAGAGGTTTCCACAACTTTATAAAGGGTGTTTCGTTCTCATCTCCAACCGATGTGGGATCTCATTGGACATTTGTGAACGGTGCCTTCTTCACACCCCTTTACCAGCCTTCTATCATAAAACGTAAAAGCATTTCAACTAGGATATTGATTGTGTTTCAAGATATGTTGTAGTACAACTTGAAAAAAACAAAGCTGTTCTTTGTTGAATAACGTATTTGCCAATAATGCAAAGTTGAATTCCGAGAGTTTGGTGATCTGGGGATCCACTACTAACGAAAAGAACAAAATCTCTGTGTAGATTGTTTAAGTTTCACATGCATCTAGTAATTATTCTGATGTTGTTCATCTTTGTCTCATAAAATTCATTTGTACTCATTCATTTTCATTGCAGGATTGTATGTCCTGTCCATTGTCTGGTGCTGTGTCGTTGTGTAATCCTTTCGATTTAGTAGATACAGATGAGAACTTCCGGAAGGGCTTCAACAATGTTTATGACAAAGCCCTTGCTCGATCTTTATGTCGAAATTTCCAGAAGTAATTCTCTTTTGTGCAAATGTCTTTGTTCTGTTAACCATGTACCTAATACTGAAAAATTATTAGATACTTAGATTGTATCATCTGACTTGATTCCCCTGAGATTGCAGGCATGCTGATCTCTTCAATGATATGCCTGGTGAATTCAATCTCCCATTGGCTGCCAATGCATGGACTATTAGAGACTACGATGATGCCTTAACTCGCGGTATAATTTCTCTTAATTTTCGGTAGTTTCAATTGACATAAGTGTCGGTACACGTCGTTTCTTCTGCTTAGAGTTTTTCCTTTTTCTTCGAACAATTTTCAGTTTCATTTGGTTTCAACTCTGTGGATGAATATTATTCAAAGTCTAGCAGTTCAAAAGTCATAAAAGATGTCAGAATTCCATTGCTTTGCATCCAGGTACCTTTTTTTTTTTTGTTACTAAGGGTTGTCTTGTCTCACTGATCTCTAAGAACACAAGACTGCTGTTGTTTCTTTGCAGGCAGCAAATGATCCAATTGCTCCAGATAAAGCAATCCCCCGTGAGGATATAAAGGTTCGCATGTGCTTTTAGGCTTGATTTGATAACTATTTAACGGATATCATATGATATCATCATAGTGGTAGATTTTATGTTCATATCCCAGGAGTAGTTTAATATGTATCTCGTTGAGTTTAGCATACGTGTTTGTGTAATGTGATTGTTGGTGCAGGAAAATCCGAACTGTTTGTTGATAGTAACGCCCAAAGGTGGGCATCTAGGGTGGGTTGCAGGCTCTAGTGCTCCCCTGGGAGCTCCGTGGCCCGATCCTTTCGTGATCGATTTCCTCGTGCATTTGGAAAGCCAAGCATCCAAAGCTTCTGCAGCAGAGGGGTTGGCATAACCATTGATGGGTATAAGAATTGCAAATAGAGCTATGATTTGTGAAATGATTAAACTCAATGCCATGTCTAGATCATTTAAAATTGGTAATTGTAAATTTATTTTAAATAAAGAAATTATGGTCCAATAAGAATTGGTTAGAATCAATTACCCCTTTAGTATCTCTAGCTAGTTCTTCTTCCCAAAGTGTTGTGTTGGTAGTGTTCTGCAACACTTCTTGAACATCCCTTTTCATTTGAAACCTTCATATCTATTCAAGTTCCTTCCATCTTCGGTTTCGTTAAATACATTCAATTCGGATAGAAAAAGGTGTGAATCTAACTTTCATTCAAATCGATAGAAGAATTTTTCAATCATAACATCATCTCCACACATAGTATACATGATTACTATATGTGACTATATGACTATCACAAACATAATACAAACATCAAAATTTTTAGCGAGGTCACTGTTCGAGGAAATGACTATACGACCATTCTAGGAATGTTTGTGATGTCAATTTTAGGAATGTTTGTGACTATCACAAACGTGATAAAATATGGGTCTTTTTGTTTCAATTGTATGAACCTTAAATCTAAATAAATATTCGACAAATTATACACGATTAGTTGAAAGAAACTTACAACCAACGAAGCGTCTAAATCTAACCAAATAAAAGCATCGAAGCCAAGTGGTATTAAATTATTATACTATTATCATATTAATGTGGAAAGCCATTAGAAAAAAAATCATGCAAAATTACACATTAATTAGCATTTTTAATGTGTAATTACAATTTAGCTATTACTGTCAAACTTTAAATTTTAAAACTATTAGGTATCTTACTTTTAATTTTTGGTCTAATAAATGATTTATAAAGTTATAAATTTGAAAAATTAATTAATATGTAACTCTCCCTACTATTCAATCAATGTAATTCGTCATAGTTCATTCTTAAATTGAACTTCACTCTTATCTCCCATATTCGACCAACGAGAACAAGAAGTTCAATCACGAGACGAAACCCAAGAACCCGCGGCTGGAAAGGAGGGAGGATTCAGAGGCTTCTCTGGCAGCAGACCGTCCCAGTGTGAACATGTCGATCGAAAACTCCATATCATTGATGGCAATGGAGGCCTAAACAGTGCGTCGTATGTTTTGTGCATGGACCAAAAGATGACCCTGAGCACCAGGTTCTAAACCTCCATAGCCAAGAAAGAGTGAGCCAAGAGGCTTGTGAGGTTGGGGTTGTTGGAGACGCTGCTCATGTATTGTT